TGGTCTGGGGCTGACCAACTTTTGGTCAGCTCCGGACCAACTCAGTCTTCTCCTACTCCTCCGAGCTGACCAGGAATCGGACTCAGTTTGAAAAACTGAGCTTGGTCCGGGGCTGACCAAACTTGGTCAGCTCCGGACCAAGTCAGTCCGTTCCGTCTGCTCCGAGCTGACCAGAGGAAGCGGAGCGCAAATCAACTGGGCTTGGTCCGGGGCTGACAAAACTTGGTCAGCTCCGGACCAACTCAGTCTTTCCCTGGTCAGTCCGCCGGTCTGTCTCGGACCTGTGTTGTTCTCGCCTGGTCCGCCGGACCAACTCTTGGTCCGGGGCTGACCAGCGAGAACTTTGGTCCTCCTGACCAAACACTCGGTCCGGAATCTGATCTGTCTACTGGTCCGGCTGACCAACTCTTGGTCTGGCTGACCGCGGACAAATCAGATTCGGAACAAATTTTTCGGGCTTCGAAAATTAGGGTTTTGTCCCGGTTTCGACGCACCGTTAACCCGTCCCAGACTCCATACCATCCATGCATCATTCAACAATCACAAATATCATTAAACATGCATAGATTCAATGATTACATGCAATTTAACGATTAAATCATGCAATCATACAACAAGCATGGCGATATATAGAGAACCAGGATCTGATACCACTGTTGGGTTATCTACGGGTTCCTAGCATGCGATCATATCGATCTAGGGTTTGGTTTACTAGGTTTCATGCAGCAGAAGAAAGATCTAAACCTAGTCAAACATCACACGCAAACCAAGCTCGAAAACCCGAAAAGATCGTGTATATCACCGAGGGAATCGTTACTTACCTCATTCTCGATGAGACTTGAAGTTTATTTCGATCCGGGGCCTGTTCTAAATCACCTAGGACTGAAGTTACACTCCCTCTACACGTATCCACACCGACGGGAAGGATTCCAAACGATTAGGAACGAATCTGCTAGGATTAGTGAAGAAAAGGGTAACTCAAGAGACGAGATCCAATCCCGGGACAATAGAAATCGAAGAGAACAGGTTCTCTAGGGTTCTAGGATGTTTCTCTGAGTTTTAGGTCGGCTCTTAATTAAGTTTGGACGAAATCCCAAACTTAAATAAGATTAGAAAACCCTAAAACGAATTTTGGAAATTTTTCGATCCCGGTCCGCCGGACTAGGAGCTTGGTCCGGCGGACCAGGCTTACTCAGCTGCCCTCAGACCGTCTGACCTGGAGCCTGGGTCCGGCTGACCAAGATTGGTCAGCTCCGGACCAAGTCTTCTGGTCTTCTTTCGGTCCGCCTGTTCGCTCCTCGGTCCGCCTGACTCCAGCGCCTAGTCCGGGGCTGACCAACTCTTGGTCAGCCAGACCAGACCTGGACAGATGACCTCGGACTGAGCTTCCGGACTGCCTGATCTGACCAACGCACTGAAAAGCTGACCAAACTTGGTCAGCTCCGGAC